GATAAGGAATTGCATGTTTTCATCATTTCTAGTTCAATCCCGTTCTTCTTCTTTTTTTTGTTTGAAAAATTTATCCCATATCAAAACAACACCACCATCACCATCACCACCACCGCCAGCAACAACAACAAAAAAATCATTTAAGTGATCATATGTATTAATGAATGAATGAATGAATGAATGAATAGAAAATTGATTAATCGGTGAAAAAAAAATGTTTTTCAATCAGAGAATTTTCACTGATTTCACAAATTGATATAAAGTTTAAATGGAGTGTAAAGAATAGAAGGGGAAAAAAAGAGAGAAAGGATTCGTATAATTAAAGTCTGTTAATGATTTTCAAACAGATGATATATAATTTCATATTGAATGATACTATACATAGTATATTACTATCAGAAGAGGTTTTTGTGTGGAGATGATAGCAATTTTAATAGTTGAAATCATGAGTCAATTAAAGCTGGATGATCATGGAAAACCTGAAAGAATTAGATGGCTGTTTGGTCATAGAATGGGACTACTCAACAATGTTCACTCATGATCACGACTCAGGGGATTCGAACTCAGGATTTGTCGGTTTCTCGATCGAACGCTTAAAGTCTAAACCAATCTCACAACAAACACTGTTGAACTCCACTGGTCACTGCTTCTCACTAGAATTCCAAGAAATACCTCTTGAAGCCAGTCACTATTGAGTATATATTCATTGTTATTAGAAGGTGTTTCATGGATATTATGGTAATTTTATAGTTGAGATTATGAGTCAATTGAAGCTAGATCACCATGCAATATCTGGAAGAAATGGGACTCCTCTGCAGTAAGTATCCATGATCTCGCCCTGCGAGATTCGAATCCAGGATCGTCCAGTGCTTCCAGGTTTTTCATGGTGGTCCAACTTCAATTAACTCATGATCTCAACTACCAATATTGGTATATTAATTGTTTGGTTTGTTTTATTTTTGTGACTTTGTAAAGGTATAAAATTTAAATATTCAAGTTTTGTTGATCAATACGTTGTGTGTTCGATTTTCAAAGGATCCAATGAACATTGATGGATTATTTGAAGAAATAAAGTGGTTTAAGCGTTATGCTTAAATAGCTCACTAAAAATAGAACGATTTTAAACATTTTCTTGGACTATAAAGTTCAAAAGTTGATTCAAGAAAGAAACAGTAAACATTAGGCTTAAAGAGAAGAATTACGTACAACAATACGAAGGTATGCTCTCTCCAATCAATGTGGAAACCAATGCCATTAACATTTGCTCTAAAGCATTTCGGGTTTATTTATTTTATACTCTTTCATAATATTCATGGAATGTTGAACATTTTCCACAAAGAGAAACAGTTGTGAAAATGTTCATTACTTGAGCGTATCGAACTGCTGATTCATCATGGTTTAAGATATCTCTTCCGTCTTACGAAGTCCCTGTATAAAATAGAAGTTTTATTGTTCCAGTCTTGTAACGTTCATCATATCTTTGAATCATAATGAACAAATAAAACCGGCGAAATTCTAATTTCTGGATGAACCAATCAGATTTAAGATAACAGGTCTAGTGTTTTGGCATGAAATTCATTCATCCATTTGGTTTAATATAGTTTTGATATTATAACTCTGATATTAGTTCGTGATGTAAACCCTAAAATCAAATTCTTAACCCTAATCATCAACTGTTAATCCTAATTCGAATTCATCACACAGGTTTATAAACTTCATTTGATCCTAGTTCTTAGATGAACACCCTCAAGGTCACTGTGGAGTTGATCAAAGTTCGTTCATAAATTATAGATCTCATCAGAAAAACAAACTTTTTTATTTTATTTTAACAAACTAAAACATTTAATTAACTACAATTCATTGTTTGATCTAACCTTTTCATAAATTTAATCAAAAACTGTCATTCAATTGTTTGTATTATATTAGTTAATGAATAAAAGTTTGATTGTTATGATGAATTAAAATTTCCATTAAAAATCTGTAAATCAAAGAATAATCAGTAGTATCATAAATGTATAGTTTTTATTATTTAATTGATTTTAAGTTAGTTAGTTAGTTATGAAAAAAAACTAGAGAATATTGGAGCACATATGTGGATTTGTTCAAGTTCCCTGACCGTTGTTGCTACCTTGACGTGGTGGTCGAGCTTGTCTATCGTGATGAAGCAACTGAGCTATACTGGCTGGAACAATCGTACCTCGAGATCTTATCATGCCAATCAGGCAGGTCGATTGAAGAGCGGTAAGATGAAAAGTAACAAACTCCAAGGTCTAAGGGTAAATTCGTACTGTTGACTGTACAGAGGTATGATGGCAGTAAGGTGTTTCCTTCAGACATCTAGCAGAACAACGATGCTGCCTTTTCATAAGTAAGGGTGGGGTTAGAAAAGGTCGAGCCTAAAAATGCACGCCTCATCTTATCCAATAGATATAAACCTCCGGCGGTAAGGTTTCAACAATTACGGAGCTAACACGAAAATTACTCACAAAAAGGTCATGTG